CTGGAATTTAAAAAAAAAAAAAAAAAAAAAAAAAAAATATATATATATATATATATATATATATATATATATATATATATGTATGGCGCAAAGTGGATTATTTTCCACTTTGCTATTATTATTTTCCATTTTCTAGGGTTTGGTGATTTCTTTCACACTTTTTTTCATAATGTGCTTAAAAACTTTCAGTTTGCAGAGAATTTGTTTACACTGATGGAATCTGCTAAGAAAATTTGTCTAGCTGACTGAGACGACGTTTTGTAACTCTTTCTTAGCAGAAGTATGAAGAGGAAGACAAAGCAAGCTATCGGATGTTGCTTCCTCTTATCTTGTTGCAACACCTTAACACACCTTCCTGTTTGTTTTTTTTAATGATTGTTATATTTAGAAGAGCTCCAAGAAGAAGGAAAAGGAGAAGCAGACGTGCAGAGGCTGCCATGAGAGCTTCAATTTCACAAAGCGCAAGCATCACTGCAAGTCCTGTGGAGTGGTAGGTGCAGAGGACGCCATTTTGTTGAGAGGGATAAAGAAAGGGCATGATGGAAATGAAAGAGTTGGAACAAGTGGAAAATATAACCTAGACAGTCAATGTGCTTTTTTTCCCCCCTCTCACCGTGTCTGTCTGCAGCCCATCTGTGCAAAATGTTCAAAGACCTTGGACAACAAAACGAGTCGAGTGTGTCCCGAATGTTTCGAAGCCAGCCTCAGCGTTGAAATGATGTGTGGAGGTGAACAGAAGAGAAAAGCGGCACCTGAGGTAAAACGGCACTAAAAGTTGGCGTACTTATAATGACAGGAGTGCATAATTGTAACAGGATGGAATAGTTGGTATAAAAATAAAATTGCATGATCTCATAAGGTGACTATTTTCACAGAATGCACTGAAGTACACTTTGTACATAACTCCCTATGATGGCTAGTAATTATGCTAATACGATCTCAGCTACAGACTGGCTCAGTCGCCTCTGCTGACATGACAGTCTGGCAGCTTCAGGTGGCTTACCTGACTGCCTGGCGTGTCTTTCAGATGAGCAATCTTCTCTGTGTTCACTCTATACCTACAACAAGCCACTGATTACACGGTTTACTGAATGAGGTTACTGGAGTAGTCGCACCTTTGTGTCTCGTATTCATTTCATGTGTTTAAATGACAAGACTCCACAGCTTTAAAAGAACAACCCTGCAGAGAGACACTGTCGCCACAAGGGGGAGCTGTAGGTTACGAGAGATTTAGAAACGGACCACAGAAGCTTAAGCTCCTGTCCCTGAACAAATCCCATTGTGTCCTACATTGTCGTTACATAAGATTGGAGGATCTGTCCTCTCCTTTACTCATCACATTTAAATCCTCGTCAATATTACACAGATACATTTGAATCGCAAACTCGTTTTAAATAAAGTGTGCCTGCGACACTGAAACACTTCTGTTAACCTTAGGTCTTGTTGTTTCTTTGTTTAGAGACAGTTATCTCTGACCGGAGACAGCTGCCTGCTGTGCGGCTACCTCCAGGTCCAGGAGAAGGGGAAGAGTTGGGCCAAGATGTGGGTGGCTCTAACGAAGACGGAGCCACTGGTGCTGTACTTGCAAAGCAGTGGACAGGTAAAACATGTTCACGCTCTGCAGAAAGGTGTTCAGAGAGCTAAATTCAGATTGAGACTGATAAAGATGGAAAATAACTAGAAGCTAATAAGGTTCATTAATCCAACAAAAGAAACCTCAAGAAAAGAAACTGAAGCTTCTTGACTTTCTTTTTTTTTTTCTCCCAAGATGACAGACAGGACAGCCTAAATTATAGAAACAGTGATAGAGGTAGTGGACAAGCATATCCCTCACTGGAAAAACAAGGTTTGACAGCTCCAATCTGGGGGAGATATCAAGATGAGATTAAGCACCTAGCAGTATCTCCATATCTCTACTTTAAAGCACCCAATTTTGTCCTCCATGATACCAAAGCTCGCCCCCAACGGACTGGGTTTCATTTCATCGAGTCTACCTGCAGAATCTAGGAGTGCAGAGCAGCGTGTCCCAAACCTCGTCCCTCGGGTTGTTCTTTACATTTTAGATGTTTCTCTGCTTTAACACACACAACTCAGATGATCTGCAGTTCAGCGAAAACCTGTTAATCAGCAATTCAAATCAAGTGTGCCTGAGGCAGGAAAACATCTAAAACCGTGTGCCTGGAGGACCAGATTTGTGGAACACTGATGTAGAAGACGGAATGACGTCCCTGCAGGCCTGACCTCCGCCGAACAATGTGATGTCATCGCACAAGTGTGTGTGACTGAGCTGATAACCAGCATGAGGAGAAGGTGCCAGCCTGTTGTGGCCGTGTTCTGTTGTCCCACACATCACTGTGGACCCAGTTTGTTAAGTAAAGAAGTGGTTAAGTAGTCGAAATGTCTTGTTTCTACAAATTTTAATTATCCAATCCATTAAGCATCAAGTAAGAGCCAACAAGCACTTTGGCGCTGACAAAGAGGGTTTGGCTCAACTCACACGCACACACACTCAACTCTGCAAGATGCATCTTCCTTATAAATGTGGCTCAATTTGAAGGAAAATGAGCAGCCTGTCCTATATTAGACGATCAAATAGTCAAAAATCGGCGCTATAACAAAGAATCAATTCTTACCGCAGGTACAAAATGATTCATGGGTGGTTCAAAGCCTTCTTTTAGCAGATACGGAGCATAAGTATAAAACTTTAAGAAAAGCTGAAAAATTGTTAATTTTTCCTTGCGTTAGTTCAGTCTCGCGCTTAAAAAAATAATAATTTAAACAATTTTGGGGGCTGGGAGGGTTTACACCTTTTTCTGAAGTGCCTGTTGCCAATGCTGTGGAAACATGATGACATTTCTAGTTATTTTATTCAGAATGAAAAATCATTGTTAATAATGATTGGAGCGGTTCTATTTCCTCACTCCAAAGTACACCATCAGTGTGCGCATTTATTAAAGATCTAGTTTCCATTTAGTTTTGTGTGTTCAGAAATGCTCATTCTTTCACTTTTGTTATTGATCCTTTATTCAATTGTGTATTTAAAAAAAAATAGACACTATTGGCCACTATAGTAATGGCTACTAAGAATGCAACCCTGCAACATGAACTGAAACATTGCAAGATTGAACTGAAACAATCTTGCGATGTTTAATCATTGACATCATTGCAGAAATCATCTTATGCAGTAAGTCTGATCAGTTCAGACTTTTAATTCCTAAATTATTCAACCAATATAAATTCAGTCAGTTGTTTTTGAGCTGATTTCAAGTTGTTTTAGAAACAGTTAAATGTCTTTTTTTTTCCATCCTAACTCACTAGGACTTGGTACAATCTGGGGGGAAAAAAAACAAACAGGTTTTTGGTTGTTTACATAAAAATAAAATGGTCACCGTTTCATTTGAGCTGTTGTTCAGATATTCAGATTCAGAACTCATCTGTTCAAAACGGAGCTTTTAATTCCAATATACAGGATATATAAGAGAGTAAAGCAGGGATTAAACAACCGGATTGGAACGGCAGTATCGTTTAACGGGAAAGCACTGCCCCCCTATGCTTAGCAAAGATCCCGCACACACACACACAAAGCCAAACCAAGCTGGCTATGCTCTCATCAGACAGCCTATAAATCTGCATCTTATAGCAACCAGGGTTTCACATAATAGACGGTAATTATTAATCTGTATTCATGATTCAACCATATATGAAGTTTTTGGCAAGTAATGTTGAGATTTTTTTTTTTTTTGCTGCTGTTTTATTCACAACAGAATGCACTAAAGGGAGAAGCCTCCCTCCATTTCATTTTTAAGATTAATGTCCCACTCCCACAGCTGGAAGCTGCCATCACAAAGATTAGGATTAATAGAAGATGGATGAGCATTTCCTGAATCAACAGAAAGAAAGAGGGGGGGGGGAGAGAGAGAGAGCTGTGCATGTCTCATGAAATACGAGTGCACCTCGATGAATTAAAATATCCTCAAAGAATATCTGGTGTTAAATTAATTGATATATATACATAGCAGGTTAACCCAAAAGGAGAAGAAGAAATAGCCTTTATGGTTCCACAGTGAGGAAATTCAGGTGTAAAAAAATATAAAAAAATAAAAAAAAATTCTGTTTTTTATTTTTTATCTAAAAGGTAGTTGCTAAAAACTGGAGGTCCAATAATTTTCTGTATCCAAGCATATAGTTGGAAAGCTAAGTAGAAGACAAAAGTATGAAAAATTGACCGTAAGCAACTGGAATAACTGCAGATTTCCGTATTATTGTGAAGGAAATGCACTCCATAATACCCAGACTTGTGCAACATCTGCTGCATCTTAGTCCACCCCAACACCTAAAATAGTCCACTGTGTGTGTGTCTATATTTTAATCTGTATTAGTTTAATTGTTTGCAGTGAAATATAGTCAACTTTTTAAATATATTTTTAATTTATTGAGATGTAAAAGTACGTTATATGCAAGCCGTAACTCGTCAAAGTTATAAAACTTCACCTTTACCTTAAAAACAAATTTCCCGCTGTTTTGCAGGACTTGAAAGGGTCGCGGGCAGTCCCCCTGCCCGGCTTCGAGGTGAGCATGGTCCCATCGGCCACGGCTGACAAACCAGAAGTCAAAAACGTGTTCAAGCTCAGCCACTCCCAACAAACCTTCCTCCTAAGTGCCCAAGATGCAGAACTTCAGGCCAAATGGGTGGAAGTCCTCTCCAAAGCTTCCCGGGGCGAAGCGCCTGCTGAGGCGTCGATGAGCCTGACTGAACACAGGAAGAGCCAGTAGCGGCCACTCCGAAACAGCTGGACTCTCTCCCTCTCCTGTGTATGAAGCACACATTACTTGAATTCACTTTACCTTGGCACTTTTCCCTCTTTGAACGGACCACTCAATACTTCCCGGACCGTCTGACTCGTAGCCTCTCGACCACACAGCTACTTCTTCGTCTTCGTCTTCGTGTTTCTCTGAAAACACACAAACCCAATACTCCGATGCCACTGGTCATGTTTTATTTCTCAGTGTTTTGAACAACTGGATCTCTGAAGAACATTTATTTGTAATATAACTGAAGGAAAATCCAGTTTTTAGATGAAGTTCTTGTACATTATTCCAAGGTGTCATGAAGCATTAACTCTTAGGTGTCTGTCTTTGCATTTAGAGTGCGTGTGTGTGTGTGTGTGTGTGTGTGTGTGTGGGAGAGTGAGTGTGTCTGAGCGTTTGAGTCCTTTCCGGTGTTATACTAAGTATTGAATGCTTGCGTAAGAAACCCCCCTCTGCGGCCTTCACTCCCTCTGTGGGCTCAGTGTTGGTTCTGTGGGTCTTGTACAGTGTGTGTACTATAATGTTGTAAGGAAACAAAGTAAAAACGACATTTAACTTAAAAAAAAACAACACATTTGTGGCTGGCCACCTGATGTTTCCACTTTTAGCCCCCTTCCCTCTGACCTCATCCTGTTTTTTTTTTTTTTTGTGGTACTTTGGTACTGATTCCCTCTCTGTCATTGTCACTGGAGTCTGAGACGTCTGATCCGAGTGTGATTTCCACTCATGTTTTGTTGTGCGACAGATCTCGATCACGGTGGCTTCACTTCAGGGTCAGCCTTAATATCTCCACTTGCACACAGACAACGAAACCCCAGTCTGTGCAGTTCAGCCTTTCACTGACTCTCCCTTTTAGTGATGTGATGGAAACCAAGTACTGTACTGTAAAAAAGAAAATAAAAAGTTTGCCTTTCCCCTGCATACCTTCCCCTCTATAAGCACCAGCCTTTAAATAAAAGTAGCAAATAGTCATCCTTCAGTCTCCTTTTGCATGTAAACTAACTCATATTTATATGTTGTGCTATTAAAAATATTCCCCTTGTCCCTCTTTTTACGTTTCAGAGCTTATTCCTGTTTTTTTTTTTTCTGTATGTAAGCGGAATCGTCACTGTTTTTTTTTTTTTTTGAACGATTGTGCTGTGAAAAAAGAAAGGAGTCCCGCATATCATCAATAAACAAACATGGCTCGTTTGAGGCCATGCTGTCAAGAACGCGTCTCCAGTTTCTCTTCGTGAAATAAAAAAAGTCTGTATGTACAACGCCTCTTGGGTAGAACAATGCCAAGCACATGACTCAAAAGTGGATGTGAATAAAGCCCGTTTTATAGTTTCATATCACCTCTGAGTTTTTGCAGAAGCACCTTTCACTTCAATTACAGCTGCAAACATTATGGGGTCTCCACCTGCCTATGAATAGATAAAGTAACTTTTGTTTTTTTGTGCTTTTTCTACCACAGATAGTAAAAGAAGCCCACACTATAATAGAACCTCCGTTGTGTGTTTTTTTTTTTTTAAACTATTTTATTTTAATGTAATTCACTGAACACATGGATACGTTTTTTCAGTTGTTTTTGTTCCTCTGTTCTATTGTTGGTTTGGCCACTGACATGACGAACTTCTCCAGCTCAGCCTGAAGCTTCTTTGTAACACAACCCATCACGAAATGTCACAGAATTCCCTTTTGTTTTCTTGACATCATTTGTCAAAAAGGGGATTTCTAGATTCATAAACTGATCAGTAGTTTAGTGATGTTGGGACTGCCTTCAGTCGTACTCAGTAGCGTGTAGTTTTGCCCGTTTACAAGGTGTGTAGAACGAGCGCCAATGTAAAGCCAGGAAGCCCTGACGACTAAACGGCTAACATTTACAGAAATTGTATTTATTAAACTCGAACCAACATTTAGTTTTTCTGTGCAGCAGCTAACAAACATGTTGGTATACTTATTCAGACTTACAGCTCAGCTATGTGGTCACATTAAATTGGGAAGTTGTACAGTTTATGGTAATCCACCCAGCAGTTTATGTCTCGGCTAAGACATCTGAGACATAAAGCAGATATTTAGTGCAGAGCATATTGCAAGCTCTCCCAAAAGAAGCATGTTTGTGTTTTCTTTAATCTATCACATAGTATAAAATGGATCTCTGTTAGCTTTTTAAGCAAAAGTGAAAATTGAAATGTAGTACTCTGTGTACCTGTCGTGTACAACCACATAAAAACTTTTGACTTTCTTTGCTCTGAGCATGAGGAAACCTGTGATGATCTGATCAAAAGCAAAACGAGGGACTTGCTGAAAAGACTGATAAGTTACCTAATGATTTATGTCTTCTGAGGTCAACAAAAGAGACCTGGAAGCTTGTTTTGGGGAGAAGAACTTTTATTCTGAATAAATTTACAACATAGCAAAACAAGCAGAAAATGTGGAATTAAAGGAAAATAAAATTACAACTTGAAAGTGATAAGTATTAATAGTGGGAAAAGCTAACAGAGTTGAAAGCTGCCTGATTTTCACCTCTCAGATGTGTGTGGAGGTGTGTATACGCTGCAGAAAAGTTGTTACAGCTAGTTTATGTTCATTCATTTTTTGGCACCTCTCTTAGTCTGTTATTCTGCCAATTAATTGTTTTAATATAATGGAGATTTATTTAATGAGCATACTTAGATCAATTATATGCATAATGCCCTGCAAAAGTATTCATAATGAAGAAAAATTTAAATATTTATACATTTAAAGCTGTTGTAACAGCTTTAAAAGTTGGTTCTGCAGTTTTAATTCCAGGAAGCTGAATCCACATTCACACCACATTTTCCGGGTTGTTGTGGGGTTTTTGAGTGTTTTCTGTAGAAAATGTGGAAGCCATTTCACTTAACAGACAGAGACAGAAAGAGGAGAGCTTTCATAGATAAAATTTTTATTTTCAAAAGTCAACATAAGGTTTTAGAAAGATGACGTGCTACGCCGGTGTCTGCTGCTATGAGCTATGGTGCAACATCAGAGCAAAATGCTGACCGCTTCCTTCTGTTCAACGTGCTGTACATTCAGAGAGAAGTGGAGCAGGGAGGAAACTGTGTTCAAAGCTGATTGAGGAGCAAACTACTTGCAGAAAACTCCTATTTTGTTTCATTTCTTTGAGAACAAATCTGAGTGGCTTTTCTCTCATCTTCAAAACTGAAACTTTAGCTAAAAACGACTCTCAGCTCCGCTGTGTTGCGTGTTGGCCGTCTGCAGAAGTTCAAAAGACACCTCTGTATCTTTTGATTTTTCTTTTCCTCTGTAATAGTTGTGAAAATGGGTTGTCCAAAAGTAGCTGACTTTACAAAGGTATTCCCAGAACTGAAAATAGCCGAACTGTCTTCTGCCAGAGGCCCTGTAGGCGTTTCTCAGTGGCTTTACAAAACAACATTAACCTCTTTGAGACAGCACAAAAGACGGGGCTGGTTGATTTGAACCAGGTTTTCAGGAGCACATTAAAAGGTCTGAAGAAAATAAGAAAAAACTCAGCTGAAGATGTTTTTGCCATTTTGTATTGCAAACTCAATTTGCTGCTGCTCTCACACAACAGCTGAGCAGAACAGATTGAAAGGAGAAGCTGGAGAATAAGCCTCTTAGCTGTTTGTGTGTGATAGTGCACATGCATGTGTATGTATTCAGATATTTCCATGCTCTGCAGAAAAAGACAAACTTATTTCTCATTCTCTGTCATTAAGTCAGACTCAACTTTTCGTGTATTGGTCAGTTAGAATTAGAAACGTTTTTTGTGCAACTTGCGGCATCTCAGCTATCTTGACATGCTTTTTTGTTGTTTTGATTTTTAGGGCATCACCTTCAAAAATCAATAAAAATCTGACAAGATACAAAGAAGAGAATTGCAGATCTTCACAACTGGTCATCCTTGTGTTTAATTTCCAGATGCCTGAAGGTGCAAAGTTTATCTGTCAAACAATAGTTAAGAAGTATGTATAGACACCCATTATCTGATTCAGCATGTAAAAAGGTTCCATGTCCCAGAAATAAACGAATCTAGGTGTGAAAATGTTTATATCGGTTCCAAAATAAAACTGAAAGGCTTTGAAGATGCTGCCTCAAACTGATAGTCTCATTATCCACATGGAAAGCCATCGCTTCAAAAGCAATGTAAAAGCTCAACTATAATCTAGAAAAGCTCGCAGTAACAAAGGTCATGATAATTGGAGACATGATCTGATAAAACAAAAATTTAAGTGAAAAAAGTTGATGCTTGCAAACCTGAGAATACCATCCCATCTATGACGTACAGGAGTGGCAGCATCTTCTTGTTTGCTGGGGTTGCTTGCTGTAAGAGGAGCTAGTGCACTTCAAAAAATAGATGGTATCATGAGGGAAAAAACATTATGTGGAAATATTGAAGCAACATCTACATACGTCAGCCAGGAAGTCAAATCTCAGACACTAATGACTGTAGACAAAAACCTCAAGTATATCACCAAATTTGTAACAATGTGACAAGATGGCATTGTTTTTGGATTGGCTATTTTCGAAAGGCAATTCTATTAAATACTATGGAATGCATGTAAACTTCTGAATTTGAAAGTAGCAATGAAGAACTCAATTAGCCTGGCATTTAGCAAATAAAAATCTTTTTCTGACCTAAAACAAGAAGTGATAAAGTTGGGTAATGTCTGTCAATTAATATCTAAACACAGACACTATTTATGAATACGCATGAAACAGAATCACTTGCACTTTTGCAAGTCAGTAGAATGACAGAGGGACCGCATGCTCTTCTCTGCTGGTGTGTATCCATCTCTATTTAAAGACAACTATTTGAATCTATTTGCTAAATAGCTTAAAGAAGAATGCCACTTTTATAATCTACTTCCCTTTAGCACATTATTTGGTGATATATCTCACTCCAAAAGCAGCGTTTTCTGAGTTTTTTTTTTTTTGGTCTTTCTATGCTGATGATCACATGCTGTTTACAGTTCTCTCTCAAAACTTATCCCGCTGCTACACACATTTTGGTCATTTTGTGTGACGTCATGTTGAACTTTATCATCACCCTCATACAAGTGCAAAAGAAGTCGCATTCTTCTGGTGAAACAGCGAGACAATTCTCCATTCCCGCACAGGAAGTGGTTGCAACTGTTTCCTGTCACTTTTATGTCTCAAGCTGGTATTGTCAGACCATTTCTGAGTTTCGTTACCTCTCAGTGTGTTGTTGTTGCTTTCAAAACTCTTCGCAACAGAAAACATATATTCATGTGGGGTTGCTGCTCAAACTGATGTACCTTTAGTCGGATGATTTCATAAACCCACAACCTACTGGAGGTCAGATGTACGTGAGATAGTCTGAAATACAAAACCAAAACATGTGTGCTCACAGGAAATACACCGTTACATCTTAAGGCAGTTCATTTAAAGTCACAGTCACTTGAAAGGTTTGACTGCCATGGTATCTTATTGTTAATAAAAGTCTTTGATATCGATTTATAGATGAATATTAAAACAAAACATATCTAGAACAGATTCGGACTTGCTGTATTTTCAGTCTCCATAGGCTTTCCTCTCCTTCAATTTCTCTTTCTGGTAATCAAAGATGTCATTTTTGTCAGGTTGAGGAAGACTTAAACGTGGGCATGATGCAGGCAAGATCATAACAAAATGGAAACTTACTGAAAACTTGCAGCCTGAGATGACACAGAGGGAAGAACACGATGAGAAGTGAACCAGCAAAAGTAGTACTACCGTTTGGTTCTGGAAAGGATTGAAAGCAGACCAGGATAATAAATCCACAGAGAGTGATTACAAAAGCAAGACATCAAGCCACTTGAACCCCTCTGCTTGAGGCAGAGACTGACCCTCAGCCGAGAAGGACAGTACATCTATTTCCTGTGGGAAAAATACGCGTTAGAGTAGATGAGTCTTACTCTGACCCCCTAAATGATTTTATTGCACAGTGAAGGTCATGGTCTTAAGACGCCAATGTTGAATATAAAATACTCTGCACACTCGCTTCTTCCTGAAAGGAGAGAGAGAAGAGCTCACATTGTGACAATGATTTATTGGAAAAACATTGATGATGTAACCTCTCGCTCCGCCTGTCTCCACTTCAGATTGTTATTGATGCACTTATATAAAAACATCCTTTCATCTTCAAAGCTGTATATGAGACTCTGAGGTTCCTAAAACAAGACTCCCTCATCTCCACAACTTCATCTTGAATCCTGTCCAGAAACACTACAGACTGTATTAGCCACAAGGTGAGCAGCTCCAATGCTATCCAACCTGCGAGAATGCTTGACTTTAAACTGAGAACACGGCAGCACCTCTTGATTTTTTTTCATGCAATGGCTGGATAAACCTAAAAATCCACCCAAGGCATCCATACTTATATTATATTCATGCACTCCACCATGCAGTGTCATTGGTGACACATCAGCTTTCTCTTGATAAGAGATCCGTAACCTTTTACTATAGAAAGAAACGTTTTTGTCCTCCATCCAGCTAAATAAAAGTTGTTTAGAGTTGCTAACTGTCATAATGGGTCCTAGTGAACGCACCCACATGCAAGAACACAACCAGTTGAGCGAATCACAATAATAAAGTTTATTAAATAAAGAGAAGTGGTGGGGAGATCTGGATACGGGGTTGGAACTGCAAGGTCATCAACTGTTAAATGAGAGGACAGATGTGAATAGCAGTCGGTGGCAGAAGGATAATGTAGAGATAGTCGGTGAATCTTACTTGGATAAGGGGTGGAATGGGTTTGATTGTTGCCTGAGGTTGCGACGGAGGACTGAGGTCCAGAGCTCGCTAATCCGGCGAGCGGAGCACGGGCAGGTAAGAGCGGCTGTAGCGGACGGTTGGCAAACGGAGAGCTCGATTCATCCAGGGGCGAGGGTACTGGCTTCCAACAGGTACTACCTGAGGCGTCAGAGGGGGTAACGGTTCCTCGGGAGGCTGACCGGAGCGGAGATCACTCGGAGACTTGTATCCACAGGCTACACGCTGGAAGACGGCTGAAAACCTGACGAGAGGGAAACACATCGGGAGATCACTCAGGTGAATAACTCAGAGGGCCTAGCTCAGGGAAAGTTACCATTCTAGGTTAACACTCAGGCACCGGAGTGTTTGCCAGCCGCAGCATAAATACTCCACTTCAGCCCTCTTCAAATTAGCCACAGGTGCGTCAACAGGGTCTGCCACCGCATGTTCCAGGGGCTAAGCCCATCGCGGACCTCTGGTGGATGGTGAGGAAACAGCAGGCAACAAAACAAAACCCAACCCCAAGATTACAAAAAAAAACAAAACAAAACACTGATCCCAACACTAACGTGACAGAAGCTTGTTCCCTTTGCTAAAAATCCACTTGGAAAGACTATCTATAGGAAATTGGTTGGCATTTTTAAAGAACCACAATTTCGAGAAACAGCTTCCATGAGAAGAAAATGAGATCTAAAGAAATGATAGAATTTTAGTGCCATTCTATTATAGGAAATTCAATACATTTATTCAATAAAAAAAAATAAAAATAAAACCTTTAAAATTTTTCATCACATCTATTTTTAAAGAGTTGGTTATTTATAATTTTTTTGCCAAAGATATTAAGAAGAAGGTCCAAAAAGCCAGTTCATCCAATTTTAAACCTGAAATCTATTTTTTTCACCATCGACCAATCTATTCTCTACTAAAACACGCAAAAGCTTGACTGAGCATGAAGAAATAAAGTCAATTTATAAAAGTGAACAATTTGTTTCAGGCCATTGAACACAAAATGATGTAAAACACCAGGTGAGACATAACAGCCAAACTTATCGTCAGCTTGTAGGTCACGCTCTAAAATGAAAACAAGACGCTTCTGAAGCAGACTGAAGGACATTTGGCAGCAGCTCCTACTTAAAAAATAATATTACTTATGGCGCAGTAGAACAAAATGACCATGTGTAAGTTGCTAAAAGTAAAATAAAAGAGTGTTGTAATCTGATATATCATTCTGAAATACACTGATGGAGGAACTCAGTTGCCGTTAAAAAGGAGGGACTCTAGTTTCCACAATGAAAGGGCGAGATTTCTCATCTGCAGAATCAGGTGGCACGCAAGCAGCAGCGAGTCCCTGAAACCATGTGAGACAAAACAAAACCACTACAGAAGCAAACAACAAGGAACGATCAAGCAGTAGTAACTAATGAAACAAATTACCATTAATGTATCATTAGAAGCATTAGACACTTTATAAGAAAGAGTACAAATGTGTACATGATTAATTGCCTTACATGATTAAATCTAAGCAAAAGAGTAATTATTACACAAGTAAATTTCTTATCCTGCTTCTGTCACAGGAAGATCGCCTGTGTCCACCTTGCAAGCTGAGTACATCTGAGGCAGCTCTGCATTTCAAAAGAAACTTGATCAACCCAATTTCCTCGTGAAATTTCATATTTCATTCTCCTTCAGTGAGTACGTACAGATTGATGGCACAGTCCCATCACTCACAGCCCCAGTCCAGCCTGAAAAACCGATTCTTTCATAGATTACAGACATAGACAACAGAAACAGAACCATTAATGAGGCTGTGGAAGGACCATCACTGTGTGGAAGGCACAGAGAGAGACAGGGATAGCTGGCATCCTTTCTGAAGTATTCTCTTCTGCCTTTGAGAGGGTTGGTCTGACGCATGCACCACTCAGTGGCAAACAGAGACGGCTCATCTTTAATGAGGCTCTGGCTTCGAGATTAAATGGTTCCTTGGAAAACTTCAGCGTTCCAGAAAATTCAGTTCATCTAAAAGAAAGTTTGTTTTATGATTCACACTTTTAATCAGAAATCTCTCACTGACATCAATTCATCTCTTACAAAGAAAAAGACATAAAGGCCATATATTTTATATTTCATAGCCAAAAAAGAAAAAGATACCTAGATATATCCCAATTGACTTTTCCATAATTTTTGTATAAGTTATGTTTAAAATGCTGTTTTCAGACACAAAAAGGGCCTTTTGAGTTGAAACCCTAAACTGGTTATGCATATTTACATACTGATGACAGAGATCATGTGCATGGTAATATTACAACAGATTGTGAATATAATATAAAAACATAAAGATACCATTATGTTTTCATATTTTGAATATATGTTGGCGTTCATTGTTGCTTTAATGTATTTTTTTGTGAAAGTGTGAATCTGTCTGCATAGAGGATATCTGTTTGAGAGCATAGCCAACCTGCAGCACACAGACTCTTCACCTGACAGTTCATCTTACTGGCTCTGCATGTGGTTCCTCAAAACATAACAAAAAGCTTATTGTGCAATTTTGCCACAAAGTATTTGTAATAAAGGTAATAAAGGTTCATCGATGCTTATAAGTCTCTCAGTAGGATGCCAGTTTGTTGGATCTCCAAACTCCTGTTTGTCTCTCAGACATCTTATGAATACACTGTCAGAATTTAGCATTGTAGCATCATATCTCTTTGGCATCTTTCATCTGCCTTGTACTTCCTTAGTTTTTTCTTACAAAGTCACCAACAAAAACAATAACATATCACCTTAGTGCTTTACAACAGAGAGAAGCTTAGTATTTGATATTATTTAATAGAAAATTGTTGTACAAGGATGGTGTTATGCAGGTATCATAAGCAACATTTTCTTGTTTTCTAAAAATTCTACTCATGACACATCAGTCCACTTAGAAGAACTTTTGAATGGAGCAAAGGCTCCATAGGGTTGAAGAAATGAAAGCGCCTCAGATACTCGGAGATGTGTCTGTTATTTTCACAGCATAAAGCTGTGAACCCACATCATGTTCTTAGATACACCTGTACCTTGCACAAAAGACCACTTCTGCTTTTACATGCAAGATGAAACAAGTGACTGAACAAATGTGACTTTCCTGTGGTAAAACTGATAGATTTTTCTAACATTTTTCTACCTTAGCTATTTGAAATCTGGTAATTTTTTGTTTATTGACACCATAACATGTTATTTTATTTCTTATCTCATTGCAGCAGGCGGAATACAATCACAAAATCTTGTTCTAACATGCTGACACCCTCTGTCAAAAGCTGTATCGAAAAACAGTTTCAGAAGTATGATGAAGTGAGAAAAAGAAAGGGAAGTGACAAAGTTTGTTCACATAATACGATAAAATGGTGCATAAACTCATTAACAAAGTTATCTTTGGAGGGAATAATATGTAGTAGCTTGACAATTCTACGTATTTTCATCAAGCACAATACTTCAAAAGATAATTTCTGAAAAAAACTATTCAGAGGCTAACGTGGTAAAATTTGTGATATACAGTAACTACACTACAGTTTCTAAAAAAAGTATTCATGTTCCCTTATAGTCTCATTTCAACCACAAAACTCATTTCATCTTATTAGGACTTTATGTGATGGTCAAAACAAGAGTGAATAACATGAAGTTGAGTGAAAATGATGTGTGATTTTCTAAACATTAAAAAAAAAATTAAAATCCTTCATATTTTGTAAACTAAGATGTGCTTAGGGGCTGCTGGAAGGCGAGACTCAACACTTCTGAGCTTCACTGTCTGTGCTAAAGAGAAGCATCCCTTCACTGCATGATACTGCCACCATTATGTTTCACAGTGTGGATGATGTACTCACTTTGTCTTTCTCCACACATTTTTGCACTCAAACCAAAAACCGCTATTTTAGTTCTCATCAGACCAGTAGCAGGCTTGTGGAAACTTGTTCACTTAGCTTATCACTTTCTTTGACTTCCTGTTCTTTCACGTTTTTAGATAGAAATCTAAGAGTTCTCCTGTCATCTTTGTATCCTGCCTAAGCATACATTTCTTCAGCTCCTCCTCATGAGATTTTTTTATTTTATTTTAGCTGTTTCTCTCCTTGCCTGGTCTGCCCATTTAGCTTGTGGGCAATGTTTTGTAAGGGTTGGTGTTGTGACATCTTTATATTTTTCAAATAACAGATTAGAGTTCTTGATCTTTGTGATGCTCATTGTTCACTGATGAACAAAGAGGACAGCTGGGTTTAGCTTAAAGTTAATTTTTTTTTTTAAATACACGTTGATGAATTATTTTTATTAATCAGGTGACGTCTGAAGGCTGCACTTATTTTAATAAAATGCTGAGGGTGAAGCTCAGGTTAAATGTAGTTCCAGAAATGCAGACAAGAAATGTGTCTTGACTGCTATTCTGCTCACTCACGCCCCAACCTGACATAATCCACAGACTCTGTTCTACTTTGGTTGACAAGGTCCCGACTGTTTATCCGCTCGCGCGACAGCAGTTCCGCAGCCGCGCGCCACCCAGTCTGAAGTTACAGCGAGGCGGAGCGGCTCGCAGGGAGGACGCTGTGGCTGAAGAGCTCTATCACTCGGAGAAACCGAGGACGCTGAAGCCAAAAGCCCTCCCAGGCAGCGAGTAAGACAGAGGGAGTCCAGGAGCTTTGCCTTTACGCGCGTCAAAAAGGAGAGCGGAGTGTGGGCGCATCTGCCTGCTACCAACATGTCCGCAGCCACGGCCTCAGTAGCAGATGTGAGGCTAGAGAATAAAGAAGACATCCGCACCCGGAGCAAACAAGGTAAGACAAACTGAAGAGCGCCTTTATGTTTGTAGGATCAAGCCTTTTTGGATTTATTGGAGACTACAGGAGAGGGTTTGGCACTTTGGTGTCAGTTTCTTTCTCATGCTTCTTGATCACAAGTTTCACCCAAAAAATGTCCGTTTTAGAAATTAAATGTACTCTGCATGCGTGTCAGAGAGCGATAAGGAGATAAGGAGTTTAAAAGTGGACCTCCCTGTTCAATATCCTCAAAACCATCTAGTGTAACCTCATTAGAATTAAAAAGAAAGGAAGAAAGAAAGGTAGGAAGAAAGAACTAGGAAGTAAAGGGGTATGAAAAATGATGCACAGCTGGAAATCCTTTACAAAACATCCACATGAAACCCATACACTTTCTAATTTGATCTAAAATGTGTCCATGTGTTGCATAAATGTGGTTGTGATTAGGTAATACTGACAGTGAACATGGGAGTAGCCCTGTTTTGTTTTATCCCAGTTGTCCCATTTTAAGATCTGGTCAGTGAGAGAAAATATGTTCTCGGTTTGTCTTTTTCTTTTCTGTTGTTTCCTGACAGTAAATTCAGTTTTTGTGATCAGGTGCACCACATGGCGAGTGCTGCCTAAGTTTCCATACCTCTTGAAACTGTTTACACACAAACTGTAGTACTTTATTTGAATTTCATGTAACGGAAAACATAAGAACATAAAAAAATAATGCATAATCGTGCAGTAGGACAATGAAGATGCATCTTTTTTGTTTTTGTTTTTTACATTGCTTTTCTAAATATTTATGTTTAGTCTCCTTTACCCTGATACCCTTAAAGAAATCCACGGTACCTACCACCAGAAGTTATTTAGTACTTGAATAAAGTCAACCTATCTAATGTCATCTCAGAATAAATCCAGCTGTGCTTTGTAGGGCTCACAATTTTATTGTAGAACAGAACAAAAAGCATCTTAAAGACAAAGGATCTCAGCAGGAATAAAGTGGTGAAGTTTGGGTAACACTTTATTTGAAGGGGGTTGAATAAGACTGACATGACACTGTCATAAACACCTGTCATGAACATGAATAAGCCTTCATGAATATTTATGACCTTTGTCATTGAGCGTCATTCGGTAAATTATGACATTTTTAAAACAAAGTTGACATTATTCAAAATGTCTTTGTTATGACAACTTGACATTAACCAGGAAATCATTACTGATGTAAATTTGTTATAAAAGTATTACTGATTGCACTTTAAAAATTAGGTAACTTTATGTTATTAAAGGTAAAGTTTAAACAGTAATGATTTCCTGGTTAATGTCAAGTTGTCATAACAAAGACATTTTGAATTAAAAGTGTCATAATTTACCGAATGACGCTTTATGACAACATTCATAAATATTCATGAATGCTTATTCATGTTCATGACATGTTATGTCATGTTTATGAAAGTGTCATGACAGTTTTATTCAGCCCCCTTCAAATAAAGTGTTACCGAAGTTGGTAGGTTTGGGTAAAAAAAAAGAAAAACACAGTTTCACAGTATAACTTGAAACTTCCTGCCCTACATGCTAACTGCAACCTGTGGAGGAAACTAACACCCCACGTCACCTTTAGCACACCAAGGATAAGACCCTTTTCTTCAGGAGGGGTCTGGGAAGCTGGTCAGAGTTGATAATGCTAAATCCAGGAAAATTCTGGTTAAAAAAAAAAAATGTAAGAGGCGTGAAAAGACTAGTTTTGGGTGGAGGTTCACCTTCCAGTACGAGAATGACAAATATTAGCAAGAACTATAATAAAATGGTTCAAGTCATTGCATGTTTATGTCTTAGTATGCACCTGTCAAAGTCCAGGCAAGAGTTAAAAACTAATGTTCATATATTTTACCCATTCGATCTGACACATTAGGAGAATGAGGATTTTATTTATTTTTTTCTGGCTCACAGGTGCTGGTTGTTTTCAGTAAAACGAAACCTTAAAACAAATGAATAACATCCTTCCACTTCTCCACTATGCAGTATTTATATTGGACTGTCACAGAAGTTTCCAATTAAAATTTATGAAAGTTTGGGGTTTTATTGAGATAAATTGTGGAAAAGGTTGATGGGCTTTCAAAAAAAAAAAAAACAACCTCTATTTGTTAGCTGAAAACCAGTTCTTCACAATAAACAAGATGACTGCTGAAACGAATCCTCCTGCTGTGACATCACTGTTTACCGCTCATAAGCTTGTTTCATGATGAAGTCATACAGTTCATCATAGTGAATGCCTGAGCAGTCTGCTGAACACCGTGATGGTATGACATCCAGTTGTTTAGGTTCCAGATGGTGTGTGAGTTTCCATCAACCTCAGGGGCCATGTGTTCAATGATTTATCACACTTCCTGCTTTGATACAGTTGCAGTCGATGCAGCATGCACGAGGCTGCTGGAAGGGGGGGCTGCGGTTTTGTCACGTACTGCTGTGTCGCCTTGCAGGGCTTCGGTGCTGATAGCTGTGGAATGACCGCGCCGTTCTCCTCTCCAGCGCTTCCTTGTCAGTTTTTGACCATCTGTTTCACCCTGAGTCGTTGTTGTGCAAAGAGAATGAATCATGAATCATCCCTGTCCCTTCCACAGCTATCTAACTTTTGAGTGAACTTCAAGCCCATTTCACATTAGCGGCACGTAACATGCCCACCCCAGAAGCTGCGTCTGTTATTAGTTCCTTACCGACTGACCTCCAACTCTCTTCTCTAGGCGGTCCGCAGGCTCAGTGCACACCGAGGCCCCTGCCGGCTGTGGGGACCCAAAGGATCATTCGGGGCAACGGGACCAATGTGGGAACAGTCATTTCCCTGCAGTGCCCAGCTAAACACAAACTGGTGGGCAAAGATTTGACGTGTGTCATGGGCACCAACAGCACCCAATGGGACGGGGAGACCTTCTGTCGGCGTAAGTAGAAACAGAGTAGTTAAAACAAAGGCCTAATATGGCAGCTGATGCAGACAGAAAAGGGTTAATAGTTCCCTAAAGATGCAGCCTGCAATATTAGACATGTAATTAAGGCTACAAGTGAAGCTATGTGATGTTGCAAAAGATTCTTGTGGACAGAAATTTGAAGTTAACTCTAGAGTTGCAACAACTTTGTTGTTTCTGTATTATGCTTAGCAGTACTTGTTTTAGGCTGAATTAGCAGAGAGAAAGAGATATGAAAGAGACCTTTTCATGTCACACAGAAAATAAAACTTGAAAATGTGCTTTTAGTTTGTTTTCCCGGTTGATAAACTAGCATAAACATGGCCTGAAAACATGTTTAAACCTGTCAGTCTGCAGCAGTTAAAGAATAATGATGTTTACATATGTAACAGGCACAGTTTGTACACCAAAGACAGGGTGGTGGTGCATGTCAGATTTTTCTCATTCTGAAACTGATCATTTGATTTTCTAAGTGAACAAAACAAACAAAACTGATAAACTGATCCAATCTTTTGTCACTGTGCAGCTCTGGCCCCCTATGAAGACTATGGTTACCGTGTGGCTGTCCTGGCATCCATTATAAGCTCGGGAATAATCTTGCTCATGTCTGTGGGCTTCATCACCTGCTGTTTGCTTGAATGCACCGAAAAGGATAAACATAAAAAGCGAAGGAGGTAAGATGATTAATGAACATTTTCATCTAGTCCTGCTGTAATAAATGTGTGTAAGTAGTCCACTAAATGCACCTTGGACAAGGTGAAGGTTTTTAAATGGTCACAAATGATACAATGTTTACTTAAGAAGAAAAAAAAAACTGATGAGTGTCGCATGCATTTAAAATCCAGTGTAATCCAGTGCTGTCAGAAGGCATGCTATTTAGGAAATAGCATGTTAAAGGTTGACCATAACACATGCAGGGACACAACAGATATTCGGAAGAAGGTGTGTAGCAATCATTAGTGTAATATTGAGCAATAATGTGATACCTGCCATTAACAGCCTCATTTTAGCTATTTTAACTTTAATAAAGTGACTAATATAATAATGTTATTTGGGTAGCACAAAGAAAAATCTGTGATGATATAACAGCTGCAGTCACTAGTAATATGGTACTTTAATGGGACAATTTAATGGGAATTTCAAGGAAATAAAAGATTTGTTTTGCTTTTCTGTGAAGTTTATCAATCAAAAATCTTCTATCGTTGATCCCGTAGAGTAGACATTCATTCAGTGATACTTTCTATACAGCAGTCTCTCTCCGTAAATATGTTTGTAAGACCCAATATGATAACAATCTATGGCACTTTATTTTTTACATATTATTACATTGTCATCTTTTTTTTTTTAAATCAGTGCTGCATTAATAATGTAATAACAACCCAAATAACATTACTTCTTTCACTAATAGCAAAATATTATTTCTTTACATACTCAAAAATATTTACATTATTGATTTTAGTACATTAAAATAAGAATTAGGTTATTGGTTGCTCTTAAATGACTGGTTACCAGATCCCCTGGTTAGATGAGACCAAACTAACTGCTTAAAGTTAGTTTGAATATTTGAATGCATCTTACACATCATCTTACATAAACCACTCCCACTGTGAAGCTTGGTGGTGGCAGTATCTTGCTATAGATATGCGTTTTTGTTATTGTAAGACATAATACCCGTGATAGAATGGCCTAGACAAAGTCCAACCTCGATGTTCCATGCTTCTGATCTAACTACCAGGGTCTTGTTTGAAAGATTAAAGCTAAAGTTCTGACGTTTAGGTCTCAATTCATTTTTGATACCAGAGAGGGCGATGATCTTCCATGGGAGGGTCAGGACCAGCACCAGGAGGACAGCTTGTCTCGTTACAGTCATAAAGGCCGGAACAACAACAACAATAACGCAGAGGAGAAGATGCTGCCTTTGTGGGAGCCAGCAAACTCAGCCCCGTGTAACAGCGTTCCACCCTGCAGGTAAAGGCACATTTCTAGCAAAAATAAATAAAAATCAACCCTAATTTGCTTGACAGTTTCAAAGAAACATGAGCATCTCCTCCTTCACAGATGTCAGCAGCAGTACATCCACGGACCCCCTCCACCTTCACTTGCAGCTCTTCCTGGACAGGAATACGATCAGCCTCTCTTACCCGAAAACCCGCCGACTCGTCCCCCTGAGTACCCAGGACCTCCTCTCTCCTTCTGTCCAGCTGCCAGTTCAGGACTGGTTCACTTCTCAGCGGCGGGGTCGGGACTGGTGTGGCAGTATGGAGGACAACACTGTGATATATCTGAAGTCAACCCATCAGTCACGAGGAGTATAAACACAAACGGCAATATAAACCCCAAAGAAGTTTCCATCAGGATCATATCGGTGTGAGAATGCTTTGCTGACAGAGCCATTTTGAGATCTTGTGTGATGTTCACTCATGTTTAACACCGTCAGCTCAGATTTTGAGTGAAATCACGTCAGCATGTAATGTGAAAAAAATAAAATAAAATAAAATCTGGATGTCTGTGGTGTTATGGTCGCTTACAAACACTGTGTTCTGAAAGGCGTTCAGCAAATCAAACTGCGATGGCACACTGCCCCCTGGTGGAAACTCGGAACTAATACGCTTTTAATACGCCTGGCATGTTGTAAATGCAAACTCCTGACACTGCTTCTTACCCCTGTGCGTAAGGTTAAAAGTGTGCTTACTGGGGGAAAAAAAATGTCAACATACTGGAATCAAGTTTGCAAGTGTTCTGATTTTTAATAGATGCAACCAACATGTAAATAATTCTAATAAATTAAATACTTTTAAGAAGGAGTTGTGCGCTTAAGTATGTGGGGCTTTGATGGTATATTAGATTAACTGTCTAGGTGCCTGGGTGAGTCCGTGTTTGCAGCTGAAAGCGGCAGCCTCCCCGCTGCTTGTCCGGGTGTAATCTACCGTTATCCTGCCATGGAGGTCAGTCAGGTCGCGGCGTGCGACAGAGACAGTCTCTCCGAGGAATTTAAAGTGAATCCCACATGCCGTTTGTTTGGTGTGGCACAACTGACGATCAAAGGTAAGATGCTTGGACGTGTGGTTACTTTTTATTAGGCGATTTTATCCACACTTAGCACGATCAAACTAGCTGATCACTTGTAGAGCTGTGTTGCAGGGATGTAATTGTAGGAGAAAATGTTCTGAAAAATGGTTCTGAAATGCATTTTTATGAATTCCTATAAAAAACGATTTGATATTTTTTGCCCATAGATAGATAGATAGATACATACATACATACATACATACATACATACATACATACATACATACATACATACATACGTAGGTTGGTGAAACTGAAACAACAGCTATATTTGTTGCATCTGTATTCACTTTGCTAAATGTGGTAATAAACCTCTTAGTAATTTATTTCCAGAGCAGGGATAATGCCAGGCCAGATTAACTATTTAAGTTGAGACATAAAATCTGCACTGCCCAGTTAGCTGCACGCTATCAGTGGATGGGAAACTAGTATTTTTAGTTTAGAGCAGTAGTTCTCAAGCATTTCACACTGTAGACCACTAATATGACAGGCAATAAAGTGTACAAGTTACTAAACACAGCTGACATTAAAGGGAACCTGTTATGCAAATTAGGATAGATCCATGGGTTGCTAGCAGTGCCCACCGATTGTGACTTAATGATCGGGGGATTTTTTGAAACGGCTCGTTTTCTTGGTGTCTGTAAACAGCTTCTATTATTTCTAGGAGCTGTAGAGAGCCACATGGAAGTACAAAAACCTGCAAAAGGGAATTTTGCATAACAGATCCTCTTTAGGAAGTAAATCGATAACATCTGTGGGTGAAAACAGTGTTTTTCACTTTTTTCATAAGTGTTGAAAGTGTTTACTTAGCAAAACCCCTTAAAATAAAAGTAAATGCAGGTTGCAACACGTCCTAAAAATAGCTAAACCTTAATGTGTAACAATTAGTGTAAGGAAGTGGTTTAGAATCAGTCACTTTTGTTTGTAGAATTAACCTTCAACAAAATAATGAAAGAGGAGAAGCACAGGGTTTCGTTTCTGAATTACAAACTGGAACTGAGCTTTGTAAACCCGTTAAAGCACAAAGTTAGCCTTGATCTGCTTTCATGTTGAATAAATTATATTTATGTTTTCTTTATCTGTGCTGTCCAGACATGGGAGGCTATGAAGAGCAGCTCCAGAGTGACGCCCAGTTTCTGTGCTCTAACCAGAGGATGGACACTGAACTGGTTGACAGTCTGGTGCTGCAACTCAACAGGATCTACCCCCAGATACTCAGTGACAAGGAAGCCTGCAAGGTCACTATATTTATGAAGTACAAATAAACATTCAGAAGTCTTTGCACTTAAATTACAAAATACAACTGTTTTAGGTTTTGCACGATTCATCTGGTTTTAGGCAAATACATTTGTAAAAACACTGACGGTGTTAATGTGCTGTGGTGGCCAACAAGTGATTCAAATCTTACAGATGACAAATACTGATATAATACTCAGGTATTTCCAAGCCTCCGTTGTGTTGTACACTTTCAAGGTACAATAGCAGGCTCTTAAAAGTAAAAAGCCCGTAGCATCACAGATCTTCCACCATTAGGTACTTTTCTGCACTTTTTGCTAGTAATTTCTCTAATCCGTTGTTCAAATCGTCTACATCTACCTGTGGCCAACACTTGGGTCCTTCCTTATAAATGCCATTATGACAGAAAAACTCAATCTTTGCCAGTTTAGAAAACTTTTAATGGTAAGACAAAAAAGGCTTTTTCCTAGTATGCTCAACAACTAGCTTCTGTATAGCTTCTAAAGTTAGTTACAGAGGCATGAAGAGGCATTCAGAAATCATACTTCCATAATACATTGGCATAGAAGCAGCAGACATATTTATTTTTGCCTCAAAAGATATGCATTATTAACAGTGCGAGAGTTCTGCCACCTCAAGGAGGTCACACATATTTCCTCTGATTGTACGTTTGTCTGTCTCTCTGCAGTTCAGAAGCCTGAGAGTCCCCACTACAGAGCGGCTACGTGAGCTGCTGCAGCACCTGCGTGAGAAAGGAGACGATGCATGCTACGAGTTCTACAGAGCACTCCACATCCAAGCAGAGGACGTTTACTTCAGTCTGCCCACTAGAATTAGAGAAAGAGGTAAAGCGCTGAGCTTGAGTGAGAATCCTTCTCAAAGTTGTGGCTTTGTCAAATCAGACACTGCATTTTTTATAAACTGGAGCAGAAATGTTGCAGCAGATTTTGGCTGTGACATCAGTTTCCTGACAAAGCCAAGTGTCATGTGCGTCACGGCGACGTGTACAGACACATCATCTTGTGACTTTTAAAGACTGACTGTTTGAAAAGAAATGCTTCTGTGCTGTAGTAAGGTCCATATTTATTTCTGTAGGCGGATCATGTTTAAGATGCACCAGAGTCAGAGAGCTGTCGCCTTCTGCTTGAAGTTTGCAGCTGAAGTGTGGCTGGTGCCGTTTAACCTTTATGATTCTTTGTTTCAGAGATGACTGAGTCAAGAAGTGCAATCAATGTGGCTGTCATCCCAGAGAGATGTGTGCTTAACGACAGAGGTGAATCCAGTTACAAGCTTTATGCTAATTGCAAGAGGTGTTTTATACAGAATCATGCAACGGAACCTTGAACTTTTTTACACTTGTTACATTACAACCACAAACTACAACGTACTGCACACAGCTAAACGGCAGGCAGTTTTTTTTACTTAACCTGTTGCAAAACAATGTCCCATTCTTTGAACATTTCATGGGAAACTTTACATTTACCTGCCAGTTTGCCAAGACATGGCTGCCCACTTAATCTGGCAAGCTGGACATGGAAAGCATTACTCAAAAAATGCAGCCAAGAAGCTAGTAACTCTGCTAGTAATTTGACTTCCATTATTAGTCATGCACTTCAAAATCTGACCTTTATCGAAATCCGGCAGGATAAAGACATTGCTGCAGAAACCATTCAGACTCTATCCAGTCTGACCTATTTTACAAAAAAAAAAAAAAACAAGTTAACTTTCATTCTCTTTATCTGGAAAGCTAGTAGACATATCTGAAAGGACCTGCAGTCATAACTATAGTGAACGCCATATTTTAGATTTGTTTTTTTCCAAAAACGGAAATTCATGTATGCTGCTTTCTTTCACTTTATAAATTTGCACCACTTGACCTGTCACACAAAATCTCAAATGCACCAAAGTTTGTCTTTATAACTTTACAAAATGAGAAGTTCTGGGGTGTAAATACTCTTACAAAGCTTTGCATCCTGATGATTAATAATAAATGCACCAATACTGAATTGTATTCCTGTTATTCACTGAGATTAACTCAATCCAGAAGTACAGGAGCAGCAAAAATAGACAGGCACAGCACACACTCCTGGTAGACTTAAAAAAAAGACATTACTGTTAATTAGCCAAGAAAACACTTTAAATCTGTCTTTGGACTCCTGCTGTGGGAATAAAACTCGGCTACTTGCCTGATGGCATATTTTGTTAAAGTAATGTCCTTACAGTTTGTGTTGGTGTGGATTCTGTTTCACTTCATTGATGCATACTTAAGCTCTGTGAGCTCCTGAACCCTTTAACCCCTGAAGTATTAGAATGTGGGGCCCACTGCACTATTCTGCCCCACCATTCATCATTCTTTTACATCCAGGGCTCTGGTTTTGTGGGTGAGTTAAGTTCATGTTTAAATGGGGGCTTCCTCTGCCCTGCATTGCCTCAGTCACCATAAACAGTTCAAATGTGGCTCTGAAAACAATGATGGTGCACTCCCACCTCGTGATATATATATTTTTTTACCCTTGTAACTGAAATATTTTTTTGTAAAAGCTGAGTAATTTTTTTTTCTTTCCTTTGTGAAGGACCAATTTTCTTTCTGAGTTGTTTCAGCGTTGCGGTTGGCATTGCATTTCTCTATTATTACGGAGGTGAGTCATGCAACATGAAAACTTATTTCCACTCACTTTATGTATATGTCTGTAACCCTTTTCTCCCCTCTTTCTGCTAACAGAGGGTCAGAGACTCAGATGCACGGAAGCATTCCTTCACTGCTCTGCGGTGAGACTTGGTAAAGATGCCAAGGACGTGTTCATTTCCTATGTGGAGGTCGGGAAATAACAAGACTGAAATATTTCAGAAGAACAAGCTGTGCTACTTTACTCTACTGTGCCAAATCAGTTTTACATCTCCTTCTGTAGAGAACTCTTGAGTCGTTTCTGCATGTATTCGTATTTTTTTTTAAATGTCTCGGTCTTGTCACATGCATCTTTGTTCTGCTCATTGCCTATGCCCAGTGATATGGTGCTGCTATTGTCCTAGTATGGAAAACTTTTTCAGGGAGAAACTTAGTAATTTACTTGAGACGCACCAAAAAGCCAATATTACCTTTGACTTGATCAGATATCAGCGGGTTAAGTACCTGAGAAAAAGAAGCCTGTTTATTAAAACCATCAAGTCTAAGAACTTACACAATTTCCTGGATCGCATCAACCAACAGCATGTACCTTGATCATTTTTGTTTTTTTATTTTACAGTTGGGGACATGTCATTCAAAACTGCTACTAGCCTGCAGCACATCTATAGTTTCTTTGTTATTGTCTCAGGATCAGATGAGATTCAGCATGTCAGACCTCAAAGAAAATCAGAAAGATATTGGCCAGGAAATGCATGATCGCTGCATCTCTAGGTTAAACATAGCATAACCATGTCAACATGCAACTGCACATCTTCAAAACTGTTTTCAGTTCTTCTCATTCAATAGTGCCATACTCCAGTACTCTTGAAGGGCTCTGCAACTTCAAGATTTTTCCTTTCAGATGTTATTTTCCAGTCTTAAAAGTAGAAGACACCCATCAACCTCATTGGGCAGGAGTTTGACACCCATGCTGTAATTTGTTTCATTTAGACTCAGACTACCAGATTGTTTGGTTGATAGTCAGTGTGAACATGCTTTGCTTGAGTTGCACTAGTTTTTGCAGCACAGTTCTGTTAACATTTCCCACAACACGTTTCCTTGAATGCAGGGTTAGGGTTAGGCTTAGGGTTAGTTGAAACAACACATTTTCTTGAATGCACAATATCTTGCCTGTTAATAGTAGTGCCTTCTAATGATGTTGGAGCATACTTAAAATTAGGAAATAAAGTAAAAAGAAGCAAAACCATTGATTTTTATTTATTTATTTATCAACAATTACATAACTGTCTCTGAGTGTGGTACTTAAGGAGGCTAAGGTTACGTATGTTTCCACTAGAGGGCGCTCCTTTTTCATTCATAACCTTTTGTGAGACAATGTTCTAGTCTTCCATACTGATGACAATAAAAAGCAGCAAACAGCGCTCATGAATTAATAATGACAAAGCGGATGAGTAAAGTTAAATTAATGTAAGGTAGCATTAAATACATTCACTTGCAAGCACAAGAGAGTTCTGTGTGCATGACACAAGCATATAAAGCTGGATTTAAACATTTGTAAATAAATACTGCAGAAATATTGCTACACCAGGGGTGTGGAAGGCTATTTATCTGCTAGCAGTGTTGATGTTTTGCTTAAAATAAATTGTTAATTCAGTTCAGTTCCTTTATTGTCCACAGAGGGGGAAATTTGGTCCGTAGCCAGGAATTTCAAACATACAAACAAGCTTCTATGCACCACAAATCTGGAACAAACTTCCATAAAACTGAAAAACAGCTGAAACACTGAGTTCCTTTAAATCCAGCTCTAAAAATCCACCTGTTTAGAGCTTATTTTGAAACCTAATCATGAAACATTAATCATAATCTGATGTGGAAAATGTAATGTTGATTGATTGATTGATTGATTGATTGATTGATTGATTAATTGATTGATTGATTGAAAATGGCATAAAAATGGAATAGTAAAGACAGAGGACTGCCTCTAAATTTTTCAGCTTCTCCTCAAGTCAACAGATGGATGATAACACTTGGACATAGTTTAGTGTTTGAAGAGAAAAATAACACCATAAATAAATTTATGGTGTTAAAACTAGGAAACCAGTCAATTTAAACAGGCGTTATTTGGTCTGATAAGACTTGTGGTCAAATAATCTGCCAGACCTATAGAAGAAGTATATTTTTGGGCCAAACAATGTCTTAAAGTGTAACATGTAATCAAATATTCAACAATGTCTGTATCTGTTTATAAAGTGTCCACCTTGTGCTCCTTAAAGAAAATCATCAACACATAATCATTTCACTCAACAGCTGAAAGATTCCAATCCAAAAATACTTTATCGATCCCAAAGGGAAATTAAGTAACGTGAAAGACATTTGATTAATGAGCTACGTACAAGAAAAACCGTGAATAACTATTATTTAGATAATGATGTAGAAAATATGCAAAATTGATTATTCCTCTCTGTTTCAGTCACTGCAGTGCATAAAAAGGGCTCTGACTTGGTCACTTATTGTGGTGTTGATGACACAGATGAAACAACCTAATTAGAGCCTCCACTTTAACAAGCAGTTCTGCTGGGGTCTGATTCGTGTTGACTGTGACTCACCAGCTGCTGCCAGTCCAGAGAACCACACACACACAGTCCATCTTTGATCATAGCAGATGGATTCTGGGTAAAGCCAAACATTTGTTTAAACTGAATATTTTGGCCCAATAACTGTTGGACAACAACATATTGATGAAGGTGAGTCTGAACTTTGATGCATATCAGACACACCCTGCACAGATGTATTTATTTTACTGATCGCACTTCCGGCTCTGAGCCATAAGCTCAATTAAAATTGAAATATGTTCAGTTTTTGGGGGTTTGAGAGGGTTCATCGGCTCTGCGTGGGTCAATGCAGGACAGCTGGGGAGACAGACAGAGCACAGTCACATGTGCCTAACTGTTGTTGTGTCCACTCTTCTGTTTGTCCACCAGCAACAAATATGTTGTTGATGCACCAGCCCACCTTTGCCACCATGGTCGTTTCTGTTTGGTTCGCTGTTCTTTCGCTGTGCTTGCAGCAGGGCAGGACAATGATTTTCTGGTAAACGACCAGCGGCAGAATTTTGTTTTAGTTTGTTGGTGGAAATTTCCACAGCAGTCTGGAGGGATCGGTATGTATTTAGGTCAGGTAGACTGGTGGAAGTTAGTTCAGAGGAGCAGAAGACCAAAAATATGCTGGCAGTTTGGGTGTAATGACCATAGAGGTTTAACGTGACGATAATGTGATCAAACAAACATACTTATGTGTTCTTGGTCAGCTGCTGCGGTTTGGTTGATGGACTCCCAGGGCAGTGATAAAGATGTTGACAACCACGATGATAAAAACTAGGCCCGTGGCCAGGTTCTCCATTAAATTGAGCCTCCAGTGTTTTTGCTCATCGTCGAGGTTCCATCGTACTGCAGACAAAGTCAGGACACAGAAACACTCACAAGCCACTTATTCAGGGAGCAAAGCCAAGTCATTAGGAGAATTCACTGTAAGTCGTAAATACATGTATGCTTCTGTTTTAGCACTCTACGAACTTTCTTTCTTTAAATAACAACAAAATGATTAATGATTAAAGTTTTATTTACATCTGAGAAAAATAATACATCGTCTCTGAGCTAAAACCCAAATAAAATGTCTAACTTGACCTTCATGGAATTTTTCTATCACTTCTTATTTCAGTTTTTGCTGCTTATCTCACCTGCAGGGCCTTGCAAATGTATTTGTAGCCTTTAAATGTATTTGTAACCTTGAAATTTGTCAAAATGTTACAAAATATAACGTCATTTTGTAACATTGCATAGCATTCAACTCTATGATTAGCAAAATATTGCTATGAGGATTGTGCTATCCTCACAGCAAATATAAGTGCTGCACAGTTTTAGTCATTTTAATTTGGACACCGTGATTCTATTGTTTTACAGACATAGTTTGATTCAACTTCATCAGTCTGACTGGAGCCCTCACATTTGATTCTAGTGGCACTAAGAAGAGTTGAGGATTGACTCAATGACAGCCAAGTGCTTAAGAAAAAGGCCACTATTACTACGCTTAGGAGCAAGATGTGCTTTCACAGCCTTGCAGCAGAATCCAAACTCTTTAAACTTTTTATCTATTTTGTCACAACAACTTTATCGCATGATATTAATTATATTAAATCATCAAACTCAGTTGCTGAATCCACCTCTCTGTGTTTGGGTCCACGCCATAACAAACACAAATCATGAAAGCAGTCAGCTCTGAGCATCTAGGGATAGATTTTTTTTTTATCCATTCTTCTTTGCAACATGGTAGATGGTTTCTCACTCGGGTAATGACCCTCCTTACACTTAACATCTATACACAAATTCAAGAATGTAACAAACATTTTGGGAAAGATTCAGGAGCCTTTGCAAAACATTGTTTTCGTCACTAAAGTTAGCAGGTGACTCTTTTGGCCAAAGAAAATTCCTCCAGAATTGTTCTGGGTTGATAAGATGAAAATTTGTAAACCTTAAATATGGTACTTTATGAGGGGAAAAAAACCACAATTCTTTAAAACAAAAAAGGAAATGATATGTCACATTTTGTTATACAAGTTGCAAGTACCAGTAAGGACCAAATTACTAGTGATGCGCCCTACCGGATAAAATCTAGCTCTTGATGAAGGCTGCATTTGCACCTTAAGTGACTGGAAATGTGATGTTCGCAATGGAGCTATTAAGAGACTCTGTATATTTTAGCAGAGGCAGAACCTTGGAACCAAATATGTCAATCATGCAAATAAAGCAAGATTTGCTTTTATGGGACACAGGCAGAACAATGCAGAGGAAGAACAGAAACCAGCTATGGGAAGCTTGTATTTCCTATCTCACAAATATCCTTTCATGGTTGTTTTTGAGGACCTTGATTGAGCCTGTAAAACTTAAACCATGTTACAATGACATAGCAGCACTGTTATCTTTCTCCTCACAGGGGACGGGTTGTGAATAATGCTGAAATTAATGAGAAATTAATCTGCCCATAGATAAAGACTGAGTGAGCATGCATTTGTAATATGTTACTGACCGACAAAGGTCAAGCAGTGCACAAACCCTGCTTGACTGTGTTCTGTCTGATGCAACTGGGAGGAGGCAGACAGGGGCTGTGGGAGCAGTATGTAGGCCACTCAGATCATGCACCGCTGGCTCTATTAGTCTGGCTTTACACATGGGTAAAAGAGGGGAAGGATGGAAAGGGAAGGCATGCCAGGGTTCAGAATAGTTAAAATAAAGGAAAAAGAAAAGAAACAAAGATCTGAATGGGCAAAGCATGAGGATCAAAGCATCAAACAACGTCTGATAATTCTCATGTGCCAACATTTTTCCCATTTAGACTTCAGTTTTACGATATAGATCAACAGTTTCTGTCACTCTAAAATGTTGAGCAAATTCTAAACCTAAAAATAGAGTATAGTGTCTGAGGTTTGCAGAAATTCAATATAATAGTCAACTGCATCTGCCCTACTACTATTTTTAGGTCAACACAGACTCAGAGAGAAGGAAGATGAAGTAGTTTTTCTTATATGGAAAATGACAGCAAGCCTCCCTTTATCAGCTCATTCTGGTGGAGCTGAGGTGATTCAGTGTGACCTCACGAAAGTTCATCAACCTGCAGTTTGATTTGGTGGAGCCTGTCGAGTCTAACCTGTAATCCAATGACTTTTCTTTATTTTATCTAGCCAATAAATGCCAACTATTGAGTTGTGGTCGTTAAAAGCAAACAATGCCAAAATACCTGAATGAATGTCGCTTACAGGTGCATATCAACTGTGTTAAATAAATTTCCAAAGGTAATTTATCTTAGTAATTCAGAAGTATATATA